AAAGAGTCTGAGAAAATGGGTAATCCAACTGTTACTACTATTTGGGGAAAGAAGAAAAGGGTATCAGTTAGTGTGTTTCAACTGCAAGTAATAGAAAATTAGACACAAATTGGCCTAAACAATAAGTGAAATATACTGGCCAACTAACCAAAATGTTCAGAGGTAGAGTGGACTTCGGTAGGGGCTGATTCAGAGGTTGAACAGTGTCACTCAGCTGCCAGCTTTTTTCTGTCTTGCCCTCTGCCCTCCAAGGCAGAAGCCTCATTCCAAGGCATGGTGGTGGGAGGGCTGCTGGCACAGTCAGGGCTTTGGGTTTCCTCACTCAGGCCCAAGGGGGTAGGGTGTCTCCCTCCATCCATCACACAGAAGTTTGGGACTTCCCTCCGATTGGACCATATTAGGTCACGTGCCTGTTTCAGAATGATGCACTACATTGACGTTACATTCAAGAGGTCTCTTTGGAAATTTGGGGAGCAATTTTGGTTGTCACAATGACTGGGCATTTAGAGAACATGGGCTGGGGTATTAGACATCTGCTAAGACGCAGGTCAGACTTTCCTTACACCTTGCACGACTTTTAATGCCCTCCTCCACCACCACCAAAAAAAGAAAATCCCGGTTGCCGTCAAGTCAATTCCAACTCAAAGCGACCCTGTAGGACAGACCAGAACTGCCCCACAGGGTTCTTTCTTTCCTTATTACTATTATTATTATTTTTTATTGTACTTTAGATGAAGGTTTACAGAAGAACAAATAGTTTCTCATTAAACAGTACACATACTGTTTTATGGCATTGGTTAACACTCCATGGGGTTTCTAAGGAGCAGTGGTAGATTCGAACTGCCAACCTTTTGGTTAACAGCCAAGCTCTTAACCACTCAGTTGACATTAATGTAGATTTAAAAAAACAAAACAAAACAACCAGTTTATAATAATTTGAACCTAGCCTCTAACTCCATTTTACATATAAACAAATTATTTATGCATGGCTTTAATATAAGCCAAATTTCTAGATATGAGACTAATGGGTAAATAGAAGATAGTACTTTGTTTCATTTGGAACTTTACTGAGAGTTGTTCACTATTTCAGAAAGATCATGTCTTCAACAGTCAGTACCACTTGTGGTATTTGAGTAACCAATTCAGTCCTGAAGATCGCAATTCACACTGCATAATGTAATTCACACTGCATATTTTAACATCTCTGAAATCCGGACGTATCCTACAATCAATGACATCTTAGATGCTATGAAATATAGTATTGAATATTAGTCTGCATTTGTAGCTGATGTATTCATTTCTCGCTTGGATTCTTGTGACAACCTCCCAACTGGTCTCTCTGCTTCCACCCTTGCTGTTGTTGGGTGCTGTCCAGTCGTCGACTCATAGTGACTCCATGTGACAGAGTCGGACTGTCTCATAGGGTTTTCTTGGCTGTAATCTTTTCAGAAGCAGATCACCAGGTCTTTCTCCTGAGGAGCCGCAGGGTGGGTTTGAACCGTCAATCTTTTGATTAGCAGTGCTTAAACATTTGTGCCACCAAGGCTCTTGCTTCCACCCTAATTACCCTACAAACTATTCTCAACAAAGCAGCCAGATTTTTCCTTCTAAAACGTAAGTTAGATCATGTCATTCGTCTGATCAAAACCTTCTAATGGTTTCCTATTTTACTTAGAGTATAAGCCAACGTCCTTACCGTGGCCTAGAAGGCCCTCTCTGATCCATTTCTCTCCTGTTTCTGCTTCTACTTATACTACTCATTTCTATTTACCTCGCTGGCCCCCTTAAAGCCCACACACTTGCCAGACAAGCTTCCACCTTAAGGCCTTTGCACTGGCTGTTCCCTCTGCCTGGCCACTGTCCCCCAAATATCTGCATAATTCATTTTCTCACCTCCTTCAAATCTTGCCACCAATGTTACCTTCTCCGTGAAGCCTGCCCTGACCACTCTATTTTAAAACTGCAACCTGCTACCCACCCTCCTATGGCTCTGCACTCTGGTTTTCCCTTAATCCTGTTCCACATTCTCTTTTTTTTCCACAGTACTTACCGCCTTCTAATGTAATATATGGAGTCTTGGTGGCACAGTGGTTAAGAGCCTGGCTGCTAACTGAAAGGTTGGCAGTTTGTAATCCACCAGCCACTCCTTGGAAGCCTGATGGGGCAGTTCTGGTCTGTCCTATAGGGTTGCTATGAGTCAGAATCAACAGCAATGGGTTTGGCTTTTTTTTTTGTAATTTAATATGCAATTGCTTATGTTTTATGTTGATTGTTTGTTGCCTATCTCCCACAACAGTGCTAGAATGTAAGCTCCATGCGGCAGGATTTCTGTCTATATTCACAGTAAAGTTAGGACAGTGTCCAACACATAGTAGGTGCTCAATAAGTATTTTTTGAATGAATGATGATTCTGCTATTAGGTGCAAGCATCTGACTACTTCATTATGTCTTCTATTATAGCTGTGCTCAAGCATTTACATATGAAATATGTATCATTATATAATGAATTGTTTTCCTATTTCCTCTTTATATTGTAGTTATGGCATTACATTAAAAAAATTTTGTCTGCAAGAAAGTATATCCCAATGCTTCAGTCTATAGCCATCTTACTTTTCTTAAGGCTTTCCCTAAGACAAAATCAAATATTACTCAATCACCTGTCTGTTGACAAACCTTTTATGACCCCCTATGCCAGAGCATCTATCCAAGTGTTCAGAGGCATGTTAACAGGTGTCACATGGGAAAAGAGTTCTGTGATCTGGTGAATCTGGGAAATGCTGTGTTCAATACAGTTGAAAAAAGAAGATTTCATCAGAGCAAAATTTCTAGAGACTTTAAATTGTCAATGTGCTAAGGAGTTCTAAGATGAGAGACAATGTGTAGTTTTTCTCAATGCATTTGACCGTGCAACCCTTCTTTTGAGGAGCCCTACTGACCTCAGAACACATATTACAAAAAATGACTTACAGGGAAAAGTTCAAAAGTCATCTGGCATCAATGACCTTGCTCAACATGCTCTTACCATCTAATTTCCCCCACTTTCCAAAATGAGTTTCCTTCCTAGATTCTTCCTTCACAGGATGGTGCAAGTTCCACCTCCTCCAGGGAGTTCTCCCTAAATTATATCAGTCTCTCTAACCGTGGCACTTATCACCGGAACTCTCATTAGCTACTCCTACTAAACTGTCTAGTTACTGATATTTCCTCTTTCTTGGGCCCATCTTGTCTACTCAACCTGAGTAAGGCTAGGGCTGTGACTTAAAAATAATCTGTAGCAGCACGTAATAGGTATCCTGTAAATACTTGATCGTTTGTGTAATATCCTGCTTCTCCCCTATTGTGGATAATGCTCACTCCGTGCACAAGGCAGTATCTAGGATCTTAGATAAAGCTTTTATCACTTTATACTGGCAGAGAAAGCACTGAAAGTGGCACTGCATTAGTTTCATATTGCTGCCATAAGAAATGATCACAAACTAGGTAGTATAAAACAATACAAACTTATTATCTACAGTTTTGTAGGTCAGAAGTCTGACGTGGGTCTCATTGGGCTAAAATCAAGGTGTCAACAGAGCTATGTTTCTTCTGGGGCTTTAGGGGAGAATCATTTCCTTGCTTTTCCAGCTTCTAGAGCCCTCTTCATTCCTAGACTGATGGCCCCCTTCCTTCATCTTTTATAAAGCCAGCAAACGCTGGTCTATCCTTCTTACATTGCATCACTCTCACCTCTTCTGCCTCTCTCTTCCACTTTTAAGGACTCTTGTGACTACACTGGGCACATATGGAAAATCCAGAAAAATCCATCTATTTTAGGTTAGCTGATTAGCAACTTTAATTCCTCTTTGCCATGTAACCTAACATAGTCTGTTTCTAGGGATTAGGGCAAGGATGTCTTTGGAGGGCCATGATTTCTGTCTACCACAAGCACCCTTGCCCAGAAGTCTAAATTGAGAGTTTGCATATAGGCAGTAGGGGGTGTGACAATAAATGGGAAAGAGCTCTTTGGAATTACAAAACTCTCAAATACAGGAAGGCCTGCTGTGATCCTTGGCAAATCACTTGAGTCTCACTATCCACTAAAATAGAAACTAAGCCACTAAAATGGAAATTGCTATCCTTTGCTCTGCGTGTTAAATGAAATAATTATGAAGAGGCTTCGTTTAGAGGCTGACAAATAGTAAAGGCTCACGAAGTTCTTGATGAATCTTGATAAGTAGGGTGGGCCAAGTTCTCGAATAACATGTGGAGATAGTTTGAGAGATTTCCGGAGAGGAGCGAATAGAAGAGCCTGCCTGTTGTTTAATGGAGCTGGAGATAGAAAATTCCAGAATAGGAATCGCGTTTCATTGAAGAAGCTTTTCAATTAGGGTTTGAGGCTAAAGAGGCTAAGTGAAGAAGCTCCTTACAAAGTTCTCATGTGGCAGGTGGCAGATAGTACCGAATTGAAGGGGGGAAATTTGTGAGATCTCTGGAGGCAAAATTTATACTTCGCGAAATTCTTATCCTATTTAGTGCAACGCCAGGCATAGCGCAGTTGTACAACAACGACCTAGTGAATAAATAAATGAATTATAATTATGGTCAGAAAAGAACTAACTCCTGCAGGTTCCACCGAGATTTGAACTCGGATCGCTGGATTCAGAGTCCAGAGTGCTAACCATTACACCATGGAACCACCATACCCAAGCTTTCGCCTTCAGCTATCTAAACCTTAATAACTCCGCCTCCACGCACAAACCAACCACCCGGAGGCGGGTCTGACGTGCTCCCAGCGCCGGTTCCGGCAAGGTAGCGCAAGGTGGGTAAGGAATGAGCGAGAGGCCATTAAAAGTGTGGTCAGCTGGGAATCCAGGATTCATTTTCCTATTTGAGCCTTCTTGAGGGACTGAGAATTCGAAGGCGCTGGCGACGCAGGCCACATACCACTTTCCTAGTCTCGGAGGCGGTGCGCCGCCTCCCCGGAAGTACTTCCCTTGAGGGGCTGGGGCCTGCCGGAAGTGGCGCAGCGGCAGGGAGGGGCTCTTTACCCGGTCCGGCATCTGAAGCTCGGCGCTCGGGTTACCCCTGCAGCGACGCCCCCTGGTCCTACCGACACCGCTGCAGCTCCCGCCCCTCCGCTCCTCGGCCGCGCAATGGGCACCCGCGACGACGAGTACGACTACCTCTTCAAAGGTGAGACTATGGGCTCTCCCACTCTCTACCAAGTCCCCCTTCGGGGGCCCGGGACACTCCCGGGGGACCCGCGCGCGGGCCACCCCTGCACAGAAATGGGCCTGCCGCAGCCCTTCCTTTCTGTGCGGTTCGCCCCGTCGTCTCCCAGTTCAGCTTCTCTCCCCTCATATAAGGGGTCCCCACCACACACCCATTTCTTAGCGACCCTCCCCATAGCCCTCGCTAGCCCCAGAACCCCTCACTGGCTGCCCTCACGGCGACTGCCTTTTCCCAAATGGTCTTCCTGCTTCCTTTCCCCGGGCTCTAAGGCCCCATCGAAGGGCCCCTCCTGCCATCTGTCTTTTTTGCCTCAGCGCCCCCTCCCCCTCGGTGTACACCCTTCCTCGCGCACATCCCCTCTAGGAGCCCCTCCGGCAGGCCCTTCGCTTCCCTTTCCGTCTGTCCTTCGGCCCAGGGACTCCCGCTCCAGGTCTTACCTGCTTCCCTCTACCCCCGAGCGAGCCTCCTCTCCTCAGGGCCCTCCCCTCAGCCGGACGCCCCTCCTAGCCGGCTTCCTTCATCCCCCGGCGCTGCCCTGGGAAAATCTGAGCGGGTCAGTGGACTCCACCCGCACCTCCACCCCGCTACTCCCGCAGTTCTCGCGGTCAGTAACCTCCCGGGCCGCCCCGCGGATGGGCAGCTTGTTCTCTACCATCTCTCCCCAAAGTGTGATTGTAGCTTCCACGTCTCCGGTGCGACCCTGGGGGGTGGGGGTGGGGGGCAGAGGAATTGTCTGTCACCCAGGCGCGCACTTGTCGCAGTGACCCGGCACACTGATATGACTTCCCACTCCCGCCGGCCCTTCCCAGCGGCGTCCAGCCTGGGATAACTCATGAGAGGGGGTTGCGGATGGGTGGTGGCTCTTATCCCTGCCAGACCTGAAGGCCCAGTTCCTGAGCAGGAAAGGTTGTGCGCTGCACAAATACTAGCTTGCTTTATCACTATGGTCTGGTTGCTTCCTGCTGCAACGCTGGGAGGATCCAGTCTTTTGGTGTTTTTAGAACAGGAAGGAAAGAGTCCTAGTTGGACCCATACCTTTCCCAAAAGGTGGTGGTGGTGGGCGGGGGTTGTGTGCTCTTTTGGTCATATTAAATATTATAAGATAGAGAAACGTGTAGTGCCCTCGGACAAAACATTTGGAGAGTGGGGGGTAGTGGATAGACAGAATTGCTTATTAGTTAGTCCGGAAAGAATCCAAATAGTTTTTTTTTAATCAACAAAGATAAAGGGTACAGTTTTCAATGAGACAAGAGCACAGTAAACGCTTTTTTGTCTCGTGAATGCTCTCACTCTGATGCTCTTTCTCTGCTTCTGAATTAGGAGGGCAGCCATCAGTAGTGTGCTGAACAAAGATCATTACTAGGGAGGAAGAAGCCATTGCTATTAAAGCTTTACAGTGGAGGGTGGAGTTTAAAAGGAGTGTTAGGCAGTGTGTCTGACTTTGCCATTGGGTGCGAGGAATGATTGACTAAATGAGGCAGGAAACAATGCTTTGCTTTACCAATACTTCGCAAATCTTGTTATACTAGGTGATGATATATCCTTGTTGTAATAGTGGGGTTCTAACCTTTGATATCCACCCTCACCCCCATGTTGGAAAGGCATTTACAGAGAAAAGGGTCCTTAATGCAGTTTACAAATAAAAAAGGGAAACCGAGGTTCCTTTACGTACTGTTTGCTGAAGGCATCTGGGGTGATGTGAAGTTACTTTGTGAGTCCCTGGAGACTTTGGGGTTTAGTCATTAAAGGGAGCTTTGTTTTCTTAAATGAGGCACAATGGCAGAGAGCAGCTAGCTACCTTTGAAGTAATTAATTTAGAACAAGATAGATTGTTCAGAGTATTTCTCCTGTTTGGTTTGTAACTAGAATGTTGGTCATAGAAATCCGTTTATTTTTTAATTAATAATATTAATTATCCTGAATTAGTTTAAGGAATTTAAACTTCTGATATCAAAATAATTTTGCAATTAGACCACCCATCTAACAATGATTGAGGGCTTTGGAATTGTATAGACCTTGATTCAAATCCTGGCTCAGGTCTTATATTTGCTCTGTGACCTTGGGAAAGTTAACCTTTTTGAACCTCAGTTTTCTCATCTATAAAATGGAGATAGGACCCCTCTATTGTAAGGATTAAATGACACTGTGAAATTTTAGCTTCTGTGTGGATTCAATAAATGATAATAATGAAGTTACTGTGATTCAGTCAGTTTTTTAAACCTTAAATCGTTATAAATACATGAGCATTTAAATATTAGTAAAGAAACTCCAAGCTTGGAGCCTCTAAAGTATTTTATGTTTCCAAGGGTTAAGATTTCATTTTGTTGCACATTCTGCTGTTTTAAAATAGGGTGTTTTAAACAATCTAGTGGTAAGGATTTTCACTTTTTTAAAGAGTTTACAGGATGTGAATCACTTTTTAAAAACTTCATTGCTGATTATTTAGCTTTTTCTTATGTAAATGATCATTTAAAAAAATCATTTTATATAATGATTATATTTGTTAATCATTACAGTAATCATATTTTAAAGGGAAGGAAGAATGATTTCATTTTTAAATGATTTCATTCTACAGAGAAGCTGTATCTCAGTAAGAAGGCTTACCTAGCAAACTAAATAGTTGAGAGAATTGGACGATAATTTGTAACTTTAACCAGTGGAAAATGAAGGCATATTGTGATTAGGATAGGATGGAGTAGTCCAAATGGAAATTTGATGTGGGGAGAGCAGGACAATTATTGTACATTATGAATTTGTACTTGAACATTAATCTTTAGTTAATGTGGACAGTGAGACTTTTGATGGGGGAAATGAGTTTTATTTTTTAAGACTTGATTTTTTATTTTAAAAACCTTAATTCTACAAGTATTTACATATGATGTGTTTAGGCCATGTGGGACACGTACGTCAAGTAAGCATCAATCACAGTTCCTGTTTACAAATAAATGTAGTAGACACTAGTCTAATTGAAATCATGTTTTCTAAAAATGTCTGGTTATATAGTCTATTGCTCACAGCATTTTCTTTTCAATTTCACCGAAATTCGATAGTAATTAACCATCAGCTGATTGTCAGTAGAAAGGATCATAGGAACTTTGCTGTCTTGTATCTTGGTAGTTTTTCTTTCACAGCTTTTGGTTGAGCAACTTGAATTCTGCTGAATCTGGAAAAACTTGTCTAGACTTTAGCCTTAATGAATGCATTTTATTTTACAAATGCTTTTGATAAGGTTGGACTGTGAATATAGTTGAAGGAGTAGAAACATCTCCTTGTTCGTTTATGAATACTAGTACGAAAATGATTAGTTATTTTATAGGGTTGTAACTTTTAGGTCAGATACACTGTGATTGATATATTGAGTTAAATTTTAGTGCGGTAAACTAGTCAGCAAGAGAGTATAAAACTAAGTGTGGTTGTAGAGATAGAAATTTGTGTTAAATAATGGACAATTTATACGTATATTTTGCTTTTATGGCATTTAGCAGCCTGATATTTGACGTATATTATGAGCAAAATTTAATATCGGGTATTAGAGATGATACTTAAAATTCATCAGATGAGGTTAACCAAAGGTGATAAATACTATTAGGTTATTTTAGAAATGCTGTTTGGTTTTATTTTGGTTATAGATGTTTAATCGCTAGATGCTGTTGTTTAATTTGGTTGTATCATTTAGTATATATATATACACCACATAGATGGCGATAGTTATAAAATGTTTAAAGTGGAACTACTTTTAACCTAAGATACTAGTTATGGAAAACATAGGAACCAGCCAGTTGCCATAGAGTCGACTCTGACTCATGGTGACCCCTTGTGTGTCAGAGTAGAAATGGTTCCATAGGGTTTTCAGTGGCTGATTTTTTGGGAGGTAGATTGCCAGGCCTTCCTTCCGAGGCACGTCTAGATAGAATCCAACCTACATTCTTTCGGTTATCAGCTGAGTACATTAACTGTTTCACTACCTAGGGACTTCTAAACAGAAACCCAAACCAAACCTACTGCTATCTAGTTGATTCTGACTCATAGGGACCCTGTAGGACAGAGTAGAACTCCCATAGTGTTTCAAAGATTGTAAATCTTTACAGAAGCACACTGCCACATCTTTCTCCCGAGGAGCAGCTGGTGGGTTCAGATCACTGGTGGTTAGCGGCCAAATGCCTTTAACCACTGCACCACCAGGGCTCATTTCTAAACAGAAAAGTTACTGCAAATTCCTTTCTCGAAGTATGGATGTGATTATATAGTTTATCACATCTTAAGACAATTAAATATCATCTAAATGAGAGAAACTATTTTGATTAGAAAGTATTCAAATTTGAGTCGATGAAGAAAAGTCCATGAAGCTGGTTTTTTTTTAAATCACAGCCAGTAGATTCTCCTGTGCTGTTCAGGTAATTTAATCCATTCTCGTTTGTTTATTTTAGTGATCCTAAATGTAACTCTGCACGTTCTGATTTCTCATTTGGTAACTGAATAGAAGCCGGTTTCCTTTTTTGTATCATTTCTCAGCATCTTTTTGACAGCCCTGTTCTTATAGAACTATTATCTTTTGTTGTCATTTAATATATAATTCTTTAACAAGTTGCTGCTTCCAACTCTGGCAATATTGGCTGTGTCTAGTTGAGATAACAGTTTTGTACTGTATAAAGCATTCACTGTTGTTTTAATTCTCTGGGCTATGATAGCATAAATTGTGAGTCTTGAATTATTTTTAGGTAAGGAGACTATTTTTAATAATCACTTGCATTGAGGAAAAAAGTCCCTCACTATTTGATGGCATAAAGATTTGAGGATGTCCCCATAATGAACATAATCATTAGTTAAAGTGGAAGTCAGAAGGAAAGAAACCTTAACTAGAAACTGCTCGAGTTTTGTGGGAGGGTGAGGGTCTTCTTTGAGTGTTTTTTTTTCCCCCCAAAGGCATTGTCCTGTTTTACTCATGTACTTACACACTCTTTGGCTTTATACTGTGTGACTGGCTCTTGAATTACTAGTTGATATCAAAGTGCCCACCACTTGCCTGTCAGTTTGTCTTACTGTGGTGGCTTGTGTGTTGCTATGATGTTGGAAGCTGTGCCACCAGTATTTCAAGTGCCAGCAGGGTCACCCATGGTAGATAGGTTTCAGAGGAGCTTCCAGACTAACACTAAGAAGAAAGACCTGGTGACCTACTTCTGAAAATTAGCCATTGAGAGCGCTATGCATCACAATAGAATATTGCCCGATACAGGGCTGGAAACCCCCTAGGTTGGAAGGCACTCAGAATTCACAGTGTCTGCAAAAATGGACTTGAGCGTGAAGATGGCTCAGGACCAGGTGGAGGGTTGCCATGAGTTGGAGTGACTCAGCAGCAACTAACAATATACCATGAAGTAGGAATGTTGTAACATTTTGGTTTTACCCTTCTTCCCTATTCCCATCTCAGGTTAGGCTTTTATACCTCGGTGCTGGTGTCAGACCAGAAGTGATTCAAAGTAGATTTCCTGAACAGAACACCCAGCCTCCTATATTGAGAAGCATAATAAAAAACAAGCAAACAAAAAAACCCATTGTCATCGAGTTGATTCCAACTCACAGTGACCCTATAGGACAGAGTAGAACTGCCCCAGAGGGTTTCCAGAGAGCAGCTGTTGGATTTGAACTGCAACCTTTTGGTTAGCAGCTCAGCGCTTAATCACTCACCACGAGGGCTCCAAGAGGCATGTTAGGTAGACTCTATTACTGAAACTGGCATTTGACTTCATGTCCAGAATGTAGACGTTGGAAGCATATCAACCAACTATCCTGTAAAATTGGAAGTGCTTCGTTTTTATACATTATTCCATGACCTTGACATCTTTTTCCCCAGTATCCAAATAAAAGCATTTAATATATGTGATTGCCACATCACCTGTAACAACTTCTAATTGACTGTATAATTAGAAATAACTACTCTTTGTGCTGCATGGAGTCACTGCTGCCTGGGTGATTTCTTGCTGAATCAGCTGATGAAGGAAGCCAGAAAGATGCATTTGATAGTGTACTCTCTCCCAAGACTGTCCAGAGGCCAGCTTATATCCAGTCTTGTGGCAAGGAAGGAATGCATAATGGAGTCTCTTTGCCTTCTGACCAGAGTGCAGTGAGCTCTCACAGTTTTTACCTTCCTCTCTAACCCTCCTGCCAAATGCTGATCCCCTTAGTAAAGCGTGCTTGGTGTTATTCTTGCATATTTGATTTTCTAGTCCAGGTGTCTAAATCAGCTCACTAGTTTAGGCGGATAAGAGGAAGCATTGGTAGTCAACTGTAGAAATAATGTCTTTCCTGAAACGCTGATAAAATTTTTTACAAACAAAAGGAATTATGTTATCTGCCTCAGATTCTATAAACCTGTGAACTTGTTTTCTTCTTTAAATTCAGATAGAAAATGCTTTTAAAAAAGTTGTCTTAATTGCCTGCTTCTCCATTGTGTCTGAAATTCTAAGTGTAACGTTGCTTTGGGTGAGAAACAGTCTCCATCTATTTAGTTCGTACATAAACTGCCTCCTGTGATAACCATAGGGAGTGAACTCATCTAATCAAAACCTATTTAAAAAAAAATTCCTGAAGTCATAAGGGAAAGTGTATGCCCTTCTTGCTTTGGCCTTGACTCAGAGTAAATAGAACTGTAAGTCAGCTTCCCAGGCCCAGCATTTAGCCTTAGTGTTTTTTGTTTGTTCATTTGTTTGGTTTTCGTCTCTAGCTTCCTGTACCAACCTGATAAATGCAGCTATTAAAGGGTCATTGTAGTTTCTGTGATCTGGGTGGTGAAGTTTATAAGCCTGGTGCCTCATATGTTTAACATGTTTCATTTTGCCTCGGTGTGAGTCCTTAGGTCACACCCAGTCTTTGATGAAACTAAGTAGAACATATTCATTCTCTTCCTCCTCATCCACTAGCATCCTTTGTTGTTGTCATGTCTCATACATTTTAATATCTCAGATTTTCCATTTGGTTGGCAATTTATCTTTTAAGTTATTACCTTCTAGGGTAGTAAATTTGGTATAGCTACCATAAATGCATTAACCTGTCATCAGATTCTGTTGGGTCTATGATTAAAATTGCATGTTTAAGACAGGATGCTACTGTCTTAGCTTCACGTGCTAAGCAGATGATTTGTGAAAGTCATTCATCCTGCAGTCAGAAACTGATTAAAAAGAATAAATTGATCTTACGGATTAATAGCAGGTCAAGAACATGGGCAACTGAACCTCCCCTCCTCTCTGGCCTCTTTTAAGAGATCAGATGCCGTTTTTTTTTTTTTTTTTTTTTTTAACTCTGAAGCCAAACTTCATTCTATTGAAAAAACGTGGTGGTGTTACTGAATGTGTTTGCCTCCTTCATTTGACATTAAGTTCTTTATGTCTTTTCAGTTGTCCTTATCGGAGATTCTGGTGTTGGAAAGAGTAACCTCCTGTCTCGATTCACTCGAAATGAGTTTAATCTGGAAAGCAAGAGCACCATTGGAGTCGAGTTTGCAACAAGAAGCATCCAAGTTGATGGGAAAACAATAAAGGCACAGATATGGGACACGGCAGGGCAAGAGCGATACCGAGCTATAACATCAGCGTAAGTCTCATGGTTTTTAAGTTCTGTAAAGTAGACTGCCGTCAAGTGAATTAGCTGACTTTTGGTAATGGAAAAGGTACTATTTTGTGGGTTTTTTTTTCCTTTTAAGAACTCCAGGATTAAGATTTTGAAATTTATTTATAAGTGTGTTTTAAAAAATAACTAATCCATTTTATTTTGAGTTCTTCCTGGTGTTTGCTTCTGTCTTGTGGTTGTTTTCTAATAGTCAAATGTATTTTCTGTTTTCAGATACTATCGTGGAGCCGTAGGTGCCTTATTGGTTTATGACATTGCTAAACATCTCACATATGAAAATGTAGAGCGATGGCTGAAAGAACTGAGAGATCACGCTGATAGTAACATTGTTATCATGCTTGTGGGCAATAAGAGTGATTTACGCCATCTCAGGGCAGTTCCTACAGATGAAGCAAGAGCTTTCGCAGGTTAGTGATAAACATATTCCATGATATTAAGGCGATGCTGTATTTCTTAGTGTTTTCTCTTGCAGTTTTGATTTAACCCCTCCAGTGAGGGTAGTAAGTTACAGTAGTTTCAGAAAAATAGACATAAATATTTAGCAAGAATTATTGTTTCGAAAATTTGTGATGACTATATGGAGCCCTGGTGGCGCAGTAGTTCAGAGCTCAGCTGCTAACCAAAGGATTGGCAGTTTAAATCCAACAGCTGCTCCTTGGAAACCCTTTGGGGGAAACCCTTCTCTCTCCTATAGGGTCCCTATGAGTTGGAATCGACTTAACGGCAGTGGGTTTGGTTTTTAGTACATGGTTCTTTGCTTAATGCTGAGTCATTAAAACATTGTAGAATTTTGAGCTTTTGTTGCCAAAAAGTTGAATATAAATGGTAGACAAAATCTGTCCGTTTATTCTGTGCTTCCTGTCTTATTTTTCCAGTATGCCTCTGTATTTTATATGTCAGTCTGAAAAGCAATGGCCCAGGGAGTGTCTGGACCAACAGGAGTCTAGCTGCTTAGTGGCCATAATTTTTTTGATTTCACAGAGGATTAGCCAATCTCTTACCCATGTTCTGGCCCAGTCCTGTACTAGAATGCAGCATCGTGCATTCTTGATTGGTGAAAGTTGTGACCTTGCACTAGTGATTATGTTGTGAGTAAAAGATTCCTCTAACAGTTTTTTTAGTTTCTCAGGCAAGAAGCAGCTTTATTTCAAATAATATAATTACAGAATTTATTCTAAGTGAATCACATATTCCCATGTTCATACCATAGCTATGTGGTGTGAAGGGAGAAGGATAGTAGATAGATAGTAGGGGATGAAAATAGCTGGGTATCTTGATGAGTTCATGTAGTTTGAGTAGTATCATTGCTAGTGGTAGAGTTCAGATATCAGAAGTAATTATTTTAATTAAGAAGTCAATGAAAGTTTCTCACAGTTTTTAGTCTGCTAAAGTGGAGATAGAATGGTGCCCTTACTGCCTGAAAAGATAGGGTGGTTTTATGTTTTATTTTTATTTGTTTATTTTTTTCTATTTCTAATATGGTCTGGCCATTGTTCGTTTGTATAGTCAGTCTTTCAGTTCTAATACAGATATTAATCCCAGCATTTCTTTGTGCTAGCGTGGTTTTATATTTTAGAAAGTTCTGTTATTTTCCTTCTGAGTGCTTGAGTGTATCACATCCCTATATTAAGACTTAACGTGACTGAAGTTTTTGTGTCTCCCCACAGAAAAGAATGGTTTGTCATTCATTGAGACGTCTGCTCTAGACTCTACAAATGTAGAAGCTGCTTTTCAAACAATCCTGACAGGTAAAACTTTCATTTGAAATTATACCACTGGGAGTTGAACGTTTGTAAAGGTAATTTAGACAAATTAATAAAAAAAACTGAAACTATTATTGTTTGTGAGTTACTATAGCGAGAGCTATTTAGAATACAACAGTAGTTACAATCCTTGCTTGTTGAGCTTCAGTCATCCTAATTCATCTAGTGTATAGTGGGAAAGAATACTTTGAAAATAATTTGTTGACTTCTATTATTACTTCAGTGAATGTATTCCATACTTCATGGTCACAAGCACAAAGTTATGCTGAAATAAAACTTTCATTAGGGACCTATTGAGATCCCGGCTACGAGAAGATATAAATGCTCTTCTGAAATTCAGTTTAAAAAAAAAAAGGCATTCTTAGGTCTGATGTGTTGCAGAAAATGCTTGGGAAAAATATATACTTGAAAATTTAAATTAAAAAACAAAAAGTAAAATTCTCCCATGATACATTGTAGAAGGAGCCAGGTGTCACCTGCTGGGGAAAATCAGTAAATGATTTCACATAGAAAAGTTTAAATGTGTAGCGGGAAAGGAACAAAGTTCATGCTGTGCAGACCAGGTCAAGCTCGGGGACAAGAAGACATTTTATTTGTATGTTGACTCATATTTAATCTGACTTTATTAAATTGACCAAATTATCAGTAAATTTAATCTTAATCCTCTAGTAAGGACTTCCATGGGTTGTTTTTAAGTATTTTTAAATTGTATATTATTTTTAAGAACTCTATAGATTTAGAGTGCAATCTTAATATATAATAGTCTTATGTGGACTTGTTCTATAAAGTCTATATGGATAAATAGTTGGAAAAAATGAGTCTCCAGTAATAATGTAACAAGATTTTAATTTACTCTTTGTATTAGAGGTAAACAGATTTTAACTTTTAAATATCGCCTTATTTTACTGTAAAAATGTAGGGAATAAAGCCTAGAGTTAAGAGCATGGACTTGGAAGCCTGATTTGGGTTCTAGTCCTGGCTCCTCCACTTGTTATGAGCTCTGTAATCTTGGGCAAGTTAGTTAACCTTTCTACACCTTAAAAATAAGGCTTTCTTCCTCTGTAAAATTCAAATATGTTTTGGGGAGTTCTTTCTTTTTTGAGAGTGAGCTTATATTTATAAATACCTTGTGATATGCTTTGACTTGACTGTTTTGTTGTGACTTAAGGTTTTTTATCCCTGTAACCTACAGAAAGGAATGGTTTGTCACTAGACTCCAAACACGAGTACATGAGGTAGTGCACGTAAAGTACTTAGCTAGTTCCTGGTACATACCAAAAAAAAATCTGTTGCCATTGAGTCGATTCTGACTCATAGCGACCCTATAGGGCAGAGTAGAACTGCCCTATAGGATTTCCAAGGAGCGGCTGGTGGATTCGAACTGTCAGCCTTTTGGTTAGCAGCCAAGCTCTTATCCGCTGTGCCACCAGGGCTCCTCCTGGTACATAGTGAACACTTAATAAATTTGTAGCAAAAATACCAGTTAAGGCACGAAAAAAAAACAAAACAAAAACAACTTCATTAAAAATAAAATAATTACTGGTGATTTACATTCCTAAGTATTTTATGAGAATTCTTTTCTGTTATCAGAAGAATAGTAAATAAAAGAACTGGTGCTGGGGTTGGATAAATTGTCTTTGGCACACTATAGCTTTCCTTTAGAATCTTCTCTGTGTTAAGTTTCACTGCAGATTGTTTAAAGCAGGTAAGATTTGATTAAATATGCAGTATGTCTTCAGATCCTACTTTTTTCATTTATAACCACGTGTGAGGATTCTCTTGGGTCAACATGTAGAGTACTAAATTGAGACCCAGGAGTTTCAGGTTTTTGCTTTTGCAGTTTTGCTCCCAATCCCTGTGTAGCTAAGTCACTGAACCTCCCTGGCCCTTAGGTTCTGTAGGGTTTAAAATGAGTGAGTTGAATCACCTTGGATGTCTGTGAGTCTCTTAGGCCTCTGAAAACCTCACTTGAAAAAACTTTTTAGTCATTCCTCATTGTTGGGATTTTTTCTGTGTCCCATCAAATCTCTTCTGGCTATAATTTCAGCCCATTTATTCTGATATTGAGTGAAGATGAATCCAAGTCCGTCTTCCATCTGCAGTATAGCTATTGTATGTATCGTTTTATAACATTGAACGTCTGATGCATTCAAACATGAACTAATTAACAGTGATATATGGTTAGAATTGAGCTGTTTTGTCCCTACAGATTAAGAACAGCTGACTATTTTCCTTAACATTCACTCTAGATAGAACTTCGGTTACTGCTTAATCAATGTTGCTTAAAAGCAAAGACGACTTCCATTTCATTTACTACCACTTGTCTTCTCTATAGTCACTGTTACCTCAGCTTCCTGCATAAATCTCAGTGTTGATCTGTGGGGTTAGAGATCACTGCATATGGCATTAGACATCTGTGTTGTTTTATAAGTCTTTGGATGTTTTAAACTTTTCTTCCTCTTAATAGATCAGTGGAAGTATTAATATGTAGGAAAAAAAAAGAGAACAGTAATTTCATTATGCTTAATTCTGCTTTAAATGTTAAAAGATATTAAGGAAACATTTGCTTTGTATTTTTATGTTGCTGGAAGAAAAAAAAGCTTTTTAATTTTAAAGATGCAAAATTATGTATTAGAAAATTTATCTTAATTATTATTCCAAAATTAATTGTAATTTTTTTTTTTTTAGAATAGAGCTGTGGCATTTTTTTTTTTTTAATTGTGCTTTAGGTGCAAGTTTACAGCTCAAGTCAATTTCTCATACAAAAACTTGTACACGCATTGCTACGTGACACCAGTTGCAATCTCTATAATGTGACAGCACACTCTCCCTTTCTACCCCGGGTTTCCTGTGTCCATCCAACCAGCTCCTGTCCCTTTCTGCCTTCTCATCCAGCCTCTGGAGAGGAGCCGAGACCCGTGGCATTCTTGACATCACAAATTTGACAGCAACTCTGTGACATATAGTTTTGCTGATGGTATTTTTTAGAGGCCTTAATTTTATTGCAGTAGTGAGAATCTTTTAATTAGGTGTAGCAGCTTTGTTCTTGGCATGTGAAAACTCTTTAAATATGTGCCAGTGTATCAAATCTGGGCATTTTTTTGACTTTCAAAAGTTTACATGGTGAGCAATGGGTTTGAAGAAGACCTGTCAAAAGCTTCTGACCTAGTACTATTGAGTTTAGTTCAGAGATTGTTCTATGCTATGCTCTGATGATGATTTTGTTGTAAATTTTTCATGCCTCACTAAGCTCTGTCTTTTCCTATACTGTATCTCATTTTGGTACAACCTTTTATGGTTGTGTTTGTTTTATGAATCACTTGTGGCTCAAAATTACGTTGCAATTAAGCAATAATATATGAATATAATATTGATAAAAGTTCCATTTTGCCCTTACAGCTGAACTTGATGCTTGTGAAAGAAATAACCCAATAATAAGCATCTGGGACCAATACTTTTATGTACGTGGGTAAACTTCTTATCCATTGTCAGTTCACTATGGGATTGATGTGTAGCTCTAAACTTCCGATTTACCATTAGATTTGAGATTGATCATTTTCAGAGATATGTACTAATTTATAAATCCTTACTCTCATTTTTTAATACTTCTCAGCAGCACAGAGTCTGCTCCTAGCTCTTCAGTGACTTGGTGGGTTAACCACTTCCGACGATGTGCTATTCACTACCAAAGGTTCCTGGCTACTGTAGGCACTGTAGGCTGTGGTGGGATACCTCAGGCCTCTGCTGTTTTCACGGTTCTTGGAGGGGTTGAAAATGGTTAACTCTGCTGGTTCCCCAATTTGAAACAGTTCAATTCCTTTGAATTCTTTTGCAGCTTACTATAATCTATACTTCTATTAGAGTAGAAGTAGGTGTATGTTCTTTATATTTAGCCTTAACTGGTTATATTTATAAAACTGTCTTATATTAGTATTTTACTTGATATTTAGATCTCCTACAAGAGATCCTGATATAAAATAAGGCAGAATTCCTTCTCTTTCTAACCTTACTTACACTTTGTACATCTTGAAAAGTGACCCCACAGGCATTGGTGTATCACATTCTTTTGATTCTAAAGGAGAATGTGCCCTTGAAAGAGGAAAATTCTTAGGTCTGGTTTAGCAAGTTACTTGTCCTGCCCCCTCTCCCCACTTAATAACCTTCTCTAATCAGATACCAGCTGGAAGGTACCTGTTCCTATTTTCTTATCAAAGCCTTCCCCCCACCCCACCCCTTCCAAATAACACACCCAGCCAAGAGAAAAATTAAGTAGGTAACTTATGGAGCCCTGTAGTGCTCCATAATTAATAAAATTATAGAACCAGGTAAAAGATTCTACCTGGAAGAACATTTTCTCCATCCTAATTTTCTGACCAACAGTTTTGTTTTTCTTTGTCACCTTGTTAGAGTTTTTGTTAACAGGTGTCTTTTTGGTGACTGGAGCAAGTGCAGGAGTAATCCATTTCTAAAAAAACAGTGTGCGGTACTTGCAAGCAGTTCTACAACACTGCTCAAATTTCTTGCTTTGTAATGAGATCTTTTTAATTATTTACCTCCCTGTGTTCTCTGAGAAGCCTGCCTTTGCCTTTCTTCCAATATTATGCTTACTTGCTTTTTATGTAAGAACCTACCATTATTTTTTTGGGTGGGGTGAGTTCCCCTAAATTAATCTCCAAATAACTTGTAAAGAAGTTGAAACTTGTAGGAGTCACATGTTTAATCATTTGACTGAAAAAGAAGAGTTACTCGGTTTGGTATTAGAAAGAAAATGTAAAGAATGAATGGTATAGTTTAGCAGTAAGTTCATGATTATCTTCAGTCCTCAGCCACTAGCCTGATTGAATGACTATCCTCTTTACCCTTGACACTGTCCCATCCTATCACTTTCTAATGAAAGGAATCTAAGTTAAGGCTCCACATCATTTGCATTAAAAAAAAAAAAAAAAAAAACCCAAAACTCTAATTAGTAGTAATCTAGTTTTTCCTCTTTAATGCTTCTTCACATTTAAACCGTGATCAGCCATCTCAAACACAAATTTTAAACCCCTCCTCAAAAAAGGGTCAGAAAAGGTTACACTCACTGTCAGTGTTGTTAGTTTACATATTCAGTTGACTACAGTTTGCTGTGTTGTTCAACTTTAGGGAAATTAGTTTTTAATTTGGAGAAAATGTACTAATTCAATTAATACACTTCTTTTTCTTTAACGTTTTGGTATGGAAAATTTCTAACATACCAAAAGTAGGATAGTATCATGAACTCCCATGTAACCATCAATAGTCATCAGTCAGCTCATGGCCAGTCTTTCTTCTACGTACTCCCTCCCCCATTATTTTGAGGCAGATTCTAGATACTACATCATTTCACTTCTAAACATTTCGGTATGCATATCTGATTAGCACTTAAACCTGTAACAACAAAGCCACTTTTAAAAAGGCAGTGATTCCTTGTTATCATGTATTATGCATGTAATATTGACATTTCTTGACTGTCCCAGTGTTTTTTTTTACAGTCTAAATTTGTTGTCCATCAAGTCTATTCCATTCACGGCGAAGGAGTCCCTAGGTGGTACAAATGGTTAAGTACCTAAAGGTTGGTGTTTCAAACCCACCCAGAGGTGCCTCAGAAGACAGGCCTAGTGATCTGCTTCCAAAAGGTCGCAGCCTTGAAAACCCGATGGAGCAGTTCTACTCTGCATACATGGGGTCACCGTGACAGTTTAAATTAGGATCCAAATAATGTCCATACATTGCAGAGCATTTTGAAGATACCATTCTGCTTTCTCTTTTTTACCTCATAACTTTATATTTAAAATTTTTGAAAAATTTTACAGAAATAATACAATGAATATCTATATATATTCCCCATGTAGAATCATCAGTTATTAACATTTTGCCACATTTGGCTTATTTCTTTGTGTGTATATATATATATTTTTTCCTGTTTGCTGATTATTTGAAAAGTAAATTGTAGATATTTTGGTATTGTACTGCTAAATACTTAAGTCTTTTCTAAGAATAAGGCGTTCTACTACATAACCACGATACCATATACCATATCCAAGAAATTTAACATTTATGCAGTATTATCTGATATACAGTCCATATTCAGATTTCTCTAACTGTACTAATAACGTCCTTTATAGATTAGTTTTTTAAATTTTAAATCCAGGATTTAGTCAAGGATCACATGTTGCATTGATGGAACTGTTTTATATCTGTATTATTGGTACAGTAGCCACTAGCTACAGGTGGCTATTGAGCACTTGAAATGTGTCTAGTAGACTGAGGATCTGAATTTTTTATTTTATTATTTAATTTAAGTGAGTGGCTACTGTATTGGACAGCACAGATCTACAACATTTTATCCCAATCTTTAAAATGTATTTTATGAGAGTAACTTTTTTTGAAGAGTCCAGGCCAATTGTCTTGTAGAATGTCCTTCAGTCTGGATTTATCTTATTGTTTCCTCATAATTAAATTCAGTCTAAACATTTTTGACAAGAATACATACATAGGTGATACTGGGTCCTCCCTAGTACATCACATTAGAAGGCATATCATGTTAATTTGTTTTAAGAATTTCCTTTTCTTTTGAGGGTTTTTTTTTTTTTTGTCAGGGGGTTGGGTACTGGAAGAGCAAAGATAAGTAAGTTACATTCTCTGTTTTTAAGGAATTTATAATCTAGTCAGAGGGAACTATTTTTAGGCAGTGCAATAAAAGACCAAATAAAGATGAAATAAAGATAGTTTCTGTGGAGGAATTTAATAGCATTTCGAAAACAGTTAAGCACTTGACTAAGTAGCCAAAAGGTTGACTGTTTAAACCCACTCAGAGGCACCTTGGAAGCCAGACTTGGAGATCTGCTTCTGAAAGTTCACAGCCTTGAAAACCCTATGGAGCAGTTCTACTCTGCACACACGGGTTCGCCTTGACTTGGAATCGACTTGACGGCAGCTAAAATCAACAACATTTGTGAAAATAATTTTTTATTGAATCCCTACTATATGCTATATGGACCTCTAGTGGCGCAGTGGTTAAGAGTTTGGCTGCTAACCAAGAGGTTAGCAGTTCGAATCCACTAGCTGCTCCTTGGAAACCCTATGGGGCAATTCTGCTCTGTCCTACAGGGGCGTTGTGAGTTGGAATGGACTCGACAGTAACAGGTTTGGTTTTTTGGGTTATGTGCTATATGCTGGAGGTGCTTCAGTGCATAGGGCAGACATAATTTCGATCCTCAAAGAGTTTCGTGTTTAGTGGGACAGGCATATACTAAGCAGTTAGTTTTAAAAAGTTTCATGAAAGAAAAATAGAGGATGCATACAAAATCGTAAGTTGCCTTTTTGAGTAATTAATTAAATTTTAGTTCAGAAGGTCACTGATAAGTACATTACCTATCCTTCCTTCCCTTCCAAGAGTCCTTTGGGATTTTGGCATGTTTATGAAGTTGTGCTCATCCCTTCATATCCCAGAAAAATACCTGAAGCGTGTGATAGTGCAGAATTTTATTTTTCCACGTAACAGTGTCAATGTATATAGGCTTTTTTTGTTAAAGACAGATTGAAAATACCCCTGTGGCTTAAATTCAGATCTAAACCTATAAGCTATGTAAGACTCTTTAAACGAAGATTTATTTAATTGACTCTGGTGAACCTTTCCGTCTGAAATGGGAAAGCCTTTGCTTCTCTTGTTGTCGTAAGATGTGGTTGGCGTCGGTTCCAGCTCATAGCTACCCTGCGTATAGCAGAATGAAATGTTTCTCGGTTCTCTAATCATTGGCTGTTTGAAAATAAAATCGTAAATTATGGGTTGTTTGTTCAGTTTATTTGTATTCTCAAAATCAGTCATTCCTGCAAATGTACCTATATGTTTCTTTTATACCAACTATTGATGGGTTTATTCACACTAAGTATTGCTGTTTCTTTTCTTCATTCAGAGATATACCGCATTGTTTCTCAGAAGCAAATGTCAGACAGACGTGAAAATGACATGTCTCCAAGCAACAATGTGGTTCCTATTCACGTTCCACCAACCACTGAAAACAAGCCAAAGGTGCAGTGCTGTCAGAACATATAAGGCGTTGCTCTTCTCCCCTAGAAGGCTGTGTATAGTCCATTTCCCAGGTCTGAGATTTAAATATATTTGTAATTCTCGTGGTCACCTTTTGTGTTTTATTACTTTCTCATACTTATGAATTTTTCCATGTCTTCAGTCTTTGATTTTAGCTTTATAAAATCATCCACTTGTCCCAAATGACTGCAGCTCTTTTTCATGGTATGGCCTCACTAGCCTTAGTTTAATAAACTGAATGTTTGGATTCCTCAATTATTGTTTACTTTTCATCATGGTAGCCTGTCACTGTAGGACATAGTAGAACTTGATCACTCCAAGCTCAGACCTGTTGGTCTTGATCAAATCAAACTGAGAGGACCTTTAAAAATCAGCTGATGTTTTGCCACAGAGCAGTTTATAGTCAATGCACTCTTCTCTCAGTGCAGCGTACATTTCCACAAATCTAAGAGGTGCCCTATAAACATAGCAGGATTTTGAGAGCTTGAAATTTTTCCATTATTCTGGAAGTCAACTTCTAAAATGCCTTAAAAGGTTTGTGTAGTTTAGTAAATTTTGTTTTTCAATTTTTGTAAGCATCAGTGTTGGTTAGAGAGGGGGCACTTTTTTCTGACCAAGAATAATCTTAATAAACACAAAAGACTTACGGTTTTGGTAGCAGTATGGTTTTGGGGCCATATTATTTTATAATGCTATCTGGCAGGTTGGGAACTAGAGAGACTGATGGAGTTCCATCTGAGGTGCCACTGTTGGAATGATCAGGCGGCCCATGTTATTAACTGATCTAATTTCCCAGCAGCAGATCATGCAGCATTTTATTGCTTAGGCAATAACTGGTTTAATGCTGGTAGTATCAAAATTTGAAGTGTTAATTTTTTCTTAAAACCTTCCAGTAAGTGAAATGCAACCTAGTTTTATCACCATAACTATCACAGGCATGGATAATTATTTTGACAGTGCTAATATTTGAGTTTTGCAGTATGTTATAGAATATAGTCCAGTTAAGTCTTTGGTTTCAGTTTGTCTAAGGAATACAATGAGAGGTTAATTTCTGCTCAAGTGCTATCACTTAAAGGCATGTATTCTTTAGTACGTAAGATGAAATAGTACCTTGAGTTTAAATAGAATGCATTTAGGCGTTGTACAGACTTAAAATAGCCTTCTTCCACTACATTATTGAAATCAATGGAGCAACTAGTTTCTCATTCAGAAATGTGCACACTAATATTTAGTTTTACTTTTTTGTGGATAATATTAAGCACTTAACTCTGCAGTGTTCTGCAAATTGTGTCAACTGCAGTGATACTATTCAGGATGATGGGATATCCAAAAAATATATATATATGTGGGCTTGCACAGATTCCTGTTTCGTAGTTAATCCTCTGTCTTTTGCGGTGCTCATGACGTGTGGGGCGCACGGAAGGCATTGCTGTAGTCAGTCATTTTGGTTTTCTTCTGTAGCCATTTTATTATTTTAGTGTATTGGTTATAAAGATACTATTATCTGTTTGTAAATTGCTACTTTGTATTTTATGCATGCTCTGTAACTTGATTTTTTTTTTTTTTTTAGTTATTGATTTGGAATATATTCACATAATAAACAGTTTTAGGGGGACTATTCCTTATGTTGTCAGATTATGTTTTTCTTTTGAGTGCTTTGGATGCAGCCATGGAATATTTGATGAGTAAGAGCATAGGTCCTTATTCATCAACAGAGTAAGCATTGCATTTGGGACATCAGTGTGTAAATTCGGCTCTAATTTTAGACATGCAGTTCAATGATCTTTTTCTTGGAAAAAGTATTACCAAAAACATTAGGGAACTAGTCTCTGCTTTCATACCTAACAGTGTCTTCTAACCCAGGAAAAGGCTTCATCTGTTATTTATTTTACTCAAAATAGGTAGTGAATTTTTTGCAGAATTATTTTAAGAACTAAGGGAGAAACTAGGTATTGAATCAAATATGAATAAAGTAACTTTGGGTTTTTACCAGGTGTAGACTTAATGCTGCCTTGGACATGGACGGATCTTGAGAGAAATCCAGGAAACATTAGGTATTAGGAGAGAGTTACTTTAATTGCATTTCAACAAGTATCTTCATTCTCAGGAGAATTTGTCTCAGGAGACAAATTGTCTCAAGTAAGAAACATTAAGTTTTTAAATATTGTGACAATTCAGGGCTCAAAGCAGTTCAGAAGTGTTTTGCTGCTTGACCCTGCTTTTCAGTTATTTTAGCTTTGAATGGTTCTTTTTATCTGTTGTGGTCTCCCAAAAAGTCCCTTAGCCATCGTGCCTTGATGTAAACTTGTATGTCATTGTTCTCTAGTGCTATCTGTGATTTCCCTCTAGTAGTTTTCACTGTATGAGAGTAAGTTGTCTTCAGCCATTGCATTGAGTATGCTCAATTGTAACTCTTAAACTCTGAGATGCCAGCGAGTTATGCCAGAGGCCTTTTAAGTCCTGAGGGGTTCTGCAGCAAATTTAGACTTCTTAAGAGTTTGGATTGCCCATCAGAGCTAGTCACATTTATTTTGTCATTGGGAAAATGAACATCTTAATTTTTGTCTTCAGTGATTTATATTTACAGAATACAAAATGCAGCTACAAATAGTGGTTTGCATTATTGTGATAATCTCTTTCATCTCCCTTAAAGAGACAGAAACTTTGGCTTACACCAGAAGTAGTTATCACCGTTGAGTAGGTAACTAAAAACTCAGTCCAGTCTTTAGGTTTCAGTTCATGGAACTTTTTTTACAGGGGAGAAAAATGGAGATTGGTAGTTTGACTTCTCACAAACATCATAAGCCTGGAAAAAAAAATCTCAAAGCATTGGGAAAATATGAACTTTGTATAAGGACTGTGCATGACATCCATTCCCTGTGTTTGAAAAAAAAAAAGAACAAAGACCATGAAAAGACTCCCTTCTACCACATCATTTGATGAGTAGCATAAAGTTAGATAAGGAATCGTGACACCACTGCCAAAGAGAAGAGGGCTGATTTTTTTCTTCTGCCTGGGGCAGTACCACCACCCTTTGTGGGACTTGACAAGTCACCTTTCCCACTCCCCTATACAATATGTCAAATAAACTAGGGTTGTCAATCTTATGTTTTAAAGAATGGTTGTGTCCCCCAAGCTGTAGGAGACTGATGGTAGCAATAAAGTGGTATAAAATGCTAACTACATTACAGCTTACGTAAGGGAGACCATTAGGCTGAGACATAATTTAATTGAGGCCATTCATTTTCCTGAAAATGGAATTGGAGGATGGAGAAAGAATATTTGAAAGGACATTTTATACTAGGCATATATTAGAAAATATGCTAAACTATGCTATGGGAGTTAAAAGATTAAAAGTGGCAGGTAGACTTGAGCATGACTGGGAGACCAAGACTTGAGTTCTGCTTGTAGCTCTTGCAGTCGTTCATCTCTGAGCCTCACCTTCTTCCAGTTAATGAGGGGACTGGACTAGATAATTTCTGGGGTTCCTGCCAGCTCTAACTCTTGTCCTGCTGTGAATGAACTCTCTTCAGGTCCTAATAGCCAAACTATCGCTCCTTCTAAATCAGATTTAAATTTATGGATGAGTACAATTCAAGTGTACACTTTGCAAGATGTTTTTGGTCTTAACAAAATAACTTGATTGAAATGCCATCTTTATTTCCATGTTAACTCTATTAAATAAGACAAAAGCTTTCGGAATATTTGCAAAACGGCCATCACTTTCAGTAGTATGCATCAAAGTACCATATGTGCTAACGGGGCAGGAGCGTTTGACAGGCTGCTGTGTCACCTGTAAATTGGAAACTGCTTATTTTGGCTTTTGCTGTTAAAAAAATATCTGCTGGATTTTTACATATACTTTAAAACATATTCAGTCTGGTAGAGAGAATTGAACTTTTTAAAACATTTTATGTTAGTTTTTTAATTGGCTGTAATAGGAATAAAAAACGTAAATCAATCTACAGGAGCTAGCTATCCAGTAGAGACCGTGATCAAAGTGTGTAGGTTTATGTGTGTACACACATGATATAAATGGCATTATTATTTGGCTGTTGGTGTAGTAATCTAATTATTAGTAGTGTAAACACTATTTGGATTCAGTTCCTTAACATTTACTAGGCATAGAATTGAGCACGAGATGGCATGTAGATTGGCTCTTACCTTCTCTGTTACCAGTGAAGTCAGTGAAAATTAGTAGCCAACAGGATTCCTTTCCTCCCTTGGAGTCAGTGGGAACTTAACCTTGCACTAAAACCAGAAAATCTCAGATCCTGTTATCCCCCACCTCACTGCTTTTGGTACTCATTCCCTTACTGACAGCCTCCAGTCCCTTAGCATACCATTTTTTCCACCGTTTCTCAGACATCTCTAGGAATGTGGTACGGTCCCTGGTCAGATCTTTAAGAGGTTGCTGACCACTGTACTAGAGTCTGTGCCAAAGCCTTTCATCATATGGGCCCAAGAATATTATAGAAGGTCGTATCTTAAATGAGACAACCTGAGAAGCCCCAGGAAGCAACTCTTTTTCTATAGCCTATCTCTGATGTGAAACCAACTCTGGAGGAGGTCATTAGAGTCCTCAGTTACTGGTTTTGGTTTACATTAAAGTGGATACCTAAATAACTTTGTACTTTTATAAGATCTAAAATCCCTATGAGGAACCCTGGTGGCGCAGTGGTTAAGAGCTCAGCTGCTAACAAGAAGGTCGGTAGTTTGAGCCCACCAGCTGCTCTGTGGGAGAGAAGACCTGGTGATCTGCTTCTATAAAGATTACAGCCTAGAAAACCCTATGAGGCAGTTCTACTCTGTCCTGTAGGGTCACTATGAATCAGACTCGACTAGAAGGCAATGGGTTTGGTTTTATTTTTAAAATTTTTTGATGGTCCCAATGCTTTCTCTCACCCAAGGCTCTGGAGGGCGATCTGCTGGTCTAGACAATGACTTGGGAGGCCGAAGCTGGGATGAGGAGGGACTTTGCAAATCAGAGAAGAAAACATAAAATTAGCATTCCACTGATCACCAGCGCTCTCTGTTTCTTCCTGCCCTTTTGTGATGGTTAGATTCTAAGGTCCACAAAGCCAGGGAGTGTGCTTTGTCCGTACTTATATTCCTAATCTACTCCCTCCACCTCCATGTCGGAGCTTTGCACTGTAGATACTGGAGTTATTTGTTAAATTAATGCCTTTTCTTCTTGCCCATGGTGTTCATTTATTATAAGGGAGGACCATCTAAAAGTGAGGGGGCCAATACTAGGATTTATCTAGTTTAGCCTGGGTAGCTATAGCTGAAGAATTACCATTCCATTTATTTTTTTATTATAGGAAAATTTTAACATAAACAAAATACAAAAAACTGGTATAACAAATCACCATGTATCCATCACCGTTTACTCTTAAATGGCGAGATTCTCTCTTCTGAGAAAAAGCTCTGTCTCCTGTTGCCACATACTGATTAAATGGGCCTCTTCTTCCTTCCCTCTGGTCAGATGAATGGCTAATAGAATGTACTGCTTACCATTCTTGAATCTTCCGTATTGAGTGCACAGCCTGCAGCGATTGGCCTGTGGTTATCATTTATAGTACTGGGTAGTATTCTGAGTCTTGTATCTCGTAAGTCATAATTCTATACTACTATTCTCAGTATATATATACCTTTTTTGGCTGTGTAACGCTTAATTATATTTGTCTTTTGCTGAGATGTTAAGCCCCAGCCCTTAAGAATGTTCTAAGACTGTTAGTAAGATTTGTCTTTTCTGCATGAGTCTTAATTTTTAACTAGCAAAATGGTTAAACATTTTACTAAATTGGAATAAGCTTTGAGTGTCACATTAAGTCTTTTAACTGACAAGTTGAAGGTTTTGGTATGACTTAAATATAAGGATTATATACAAACCTTTGAAAGTATATAGGTGAAATGTTAAACTTACACCATTGAATGCTATTTTTAGCGTCTGTGTTTTACTACAAAATTAATCCTGCTGCTTCTTTACCAGTCAGGTCACAGGATTATGTTTTTAAAGGTCCTAACACAGATGCACCCAGGGTAACTAACTGTACTGGATGATAACTCCTGTTAGTGGCAAGCTATTCATTGCATTTATGCAAATTAGGTAGCCCTCACACTTGCCTTTATTCCATCCCATAGAAGTACCTTTGTGCCTCTGGAGCTGAGCACAAAGCTGTAGTAGTTGTCTTTGAGTCCAAATCTTTGTGGGAAGAGAGAAAACCTCTAATTGTAATATACTTGTATGTATGGGATTTTTTCAGTAATTTTTGGACATGAATAAGAATATGTTGATTCCATCCATTAAAGGAAGAGACTTCCTTGTTAGAAATTTGATACCACTTTTTCACTTTATTTTCAAGGATTTATTGGGATAATTTCAGGGGTTCAAACCAGAACAAACTGGTTCAAACCCCTGCTGAAGAATTTGCATTTCTAAAAAGTTCCCTGCTGAGAATTTGAGTTTCCACCCCCAGATATACTGAATCAGAATCTGCAGTTTAATAAGATCCCCACATGATTCTTCTGTATAACTTCCTGGGAACTTGTTAGAAATTCAAATTCTTCGCAGGGGCTCGAACCAGAACGAACTGGTTCGAAGTCCTGGATAATTTTCATTTTTCCAACTGCCTAAAGTGACCACACAAAATGTAGTTCTACTTTTAAAGTGTAGATTATAGATTATGGTTTCAATTTGCAACACGACAATAGGCATTCCTGTTAAATTAGTTTGAGAAATTCATTTTATTTTGTACAAGGTACAATACCTCTGCACAGTGAACAAATACATTACAAATCTGTGTTTAAAAAAGTATTGCCATTTCGTAGTCTTACTTATGCTACTGTACAATAATTGTGTTTTCTTTATTCATTTGAACTGTATGCACATCAGTTTATTTGAAAAATTTAGTTTCTGTGAAATCATTGAACAGAACTTTCCAAGTCACCAATAAAACGAACTAAAACACAGTGCCCGTTTAGGCTGACCATGAACCTATTTGTGCCAGTGCTGGTGAGAAGCTCCTACCAGTTGCTCTGTAAGACTGAACTGTCTTTTGTAGGTAACTCCTAGATGTGTGAAGGCAGCTGTTGTCACCATGGATGACTCAAACCCTCTGCCTTTCCCTTCTCCTCTGTATTGCCTGATTTGAGCTGTATTACATTTCTTTAAAAATCAACAGAATGCTAGAGCTGAAGACTTGTTAGAGCTGCCTTCCCCCTCTCTGCTGCTTCCTTTTATACATGGGGACAAAAGGAGCCCACGAGGGCAAGTAACTTGCCCAGGGTAACACCCAAATCTCTTGAACCCGTGCTCTTCCCATTCCACCATGCCACCTCTGACCGAATACGTTTGCCCAGAGGATAGTTGGCAAAAGAGGTGAAACTGGAGTGATGCTGCCGGTTTCCGGTTTGCCAGGCAGCAGTTATTGCACATGCAGGGTAAGAGAAGAAGCCAAAACCTGGGATTGACTGCTGATCTGACTTTGTCATGCTTCTTACTCCTTGCTTCACGAAGATAATTGAGCACTGGCCGCCCTGAAATACTGAGGTAAGTGTTTTATCTATATTTTTTTCTACATACGTATATGAAATATTCCTTGGGTCTACAAAGTAATTTGCTAGTATTTATATTTTAATAAGGCTTTTTTGGAAAGTAAATTTGCTATTGCTGATCACTTGCTCCCATGCACGCATGCAGCATTCATGTATTATATATTTTCCCCTAACAATAAAATGTGGTCACTTGGGGGAAGTGGGTGGCAGGGGGTGGTTTACTCATTTTTTTATTTTCTTGCTTTTGCTGGTTACTACCCAAACTAAGGAGCCCTGGGGGCACAAGTGTTTAAGAGCTTGGCTGCTACCCAAAAGGTTGGCAGTTCTAATCCACCAGCTGCTCCTTGGAATCCTGTGGGGCAGTTCTGCTTTGTCCTTTAGGGTCGCTATGAGTCAGAATCGACAGAATCAACTTGATGGCAACGGGTTTGGTTTTTTGGTTTTTTTTGTTTTTACGCAACCTAATGGGTTCCATGGCAGACTTCCAATTTATCTCAAGGGCTTCACAACTCCCATAGTTCCTGTAGCAGCTAGTCTAGCTTTGCAGTCATTTAGTTCCTCTCCCGTATACCTTTTTGGAAGTACTTTTTACTGGTTGGACTGGTGTCAGAGAATGGAGTGGTACAGAGGTGGTCACTAGCTTCCTTGGTTTGCCCTTCTTTTGGTCTTTAATTTTTGTGAAGAGGTCCTCTTTAGGGCTGGGGGATTGAATCCATTTTGACTCGTCTGAGCCACAGTTTACCTGTGTCCATATGTAGCGGAAAGTATAGACACATCTGAATGCTGGGATCTGGAGCATTAACTCATTGTGATACATTTTCGACCATCTCAGTAGGTGGTGATTTTAAGGTATAAGGTAGAAGCACTTGATATCCTTAGATCTGTTTGTTTACTATTAAGTTTTTACATCACATTACAACTGGTTACAGTCCATTCTTTGTTTGATAATTTCATTTAGTTCTATTAAAAAGCATAATGTACTTTAAGCGACTTAAACTCGCTGTATCCACATCTGTCTCATCCTCTATAGTTTCAGTTTCCATACTATGTGAAGCTCAAGATTTACGAAGAACTGCTTGAAAACAAGTACTCTTCCGAGTCAAGGAATGCCATCCTGATAAACTGGGGAGGCCAAGTAGCTGTTTGATACTTAATTCTTATCAGTCTGTGAGTGCTTACATAAAGCATTGTCTCAGTGCTCTATTGCACATGGCATGACTCAGGTGGTGGGTGGATTAAAGAGATCAGACAAGGCCAGGGCTGACTTGCGATGTTCTTGACCTTTGAATTGGCGGGATTTGATAAAGCTGGCCTAGAAATCATTATTGTAGATAGAAACTGCTGCTTTGGAAACATTTTTTTTTTTTTTGCCTATTACCAAAACAGTGGTGAAGAGAAAAAGTTAATTTATATTTATTGAAGTCTTATTTGTAAAAATTGAAGTTGTCAGCATTAGACTATATACTGAACTCTGTAGTCTTGGCCATTACAATCTGATGGAGCAGACATATATGCACAGGTAAATTAAGTATTGATATTAGCATAGCTCATGTCTAGGTACTGATTATTTTAGGTCATAAAACAGATGTTGATGGTAATAGCAACCAAAAGTACATATACTTTTCAGGTGCTGTAAAGTAATTCTGTCCCTTCCCCAGTCCCCCTTTCCCCCTAGGAAGGTTTGTAAAACCTACATGCTTTCTAAGCATCATATTTCAGATAATTATATATATATTTAGCTGATGTTGATAAGTAGTTGTACCTTTAATGTTTTAGAAACCATAATCCAGGGCATCTGGGGTCTGGGGTTGGTAGGTGATAGGGTTTGCCTTTGTGAACAGATTTCTTTGAACGATTACCCCAGTCCCACTTGGAAACTCTTCTTTAGTTCCAGGTGAAAGTAACAACTAACATGCAGTTGGAGTCTATACCATTATTTCAAGTCAGAGGATTGTCTTCTTTCAGAGAGTCAGAGAATATTCAGCAGAATACATTGCAAGAGGGAAGCTTATCCCTCTTTAAGAGTGCTTGTCCCGGGAGGGCCCATTGGCAGGGCTCTGTCTTACTGGGAGGAGGTCATAATGACCAGGAATATCGCTGTTGTTATGGAGGTCGTATGGATTCTGGATATAGCTGGAGTTACAACTGCGGCTTTCTTGGACCACACTGATTGTGGGCTCTAAGGAACATAGTGAAAAATGAGTTCAGAGAACAGATTAGCTTTGTTTGCCTCATTGAGGGGAAGAGAGTCCTATTTTAACTTGGTGAGTAGAGATACTAGGGCTTGACAGATATGTGAGGGTTGGGACTGAGGCTCAAGAGACAGCAAATCTAAGTGAATGTGCTGTCAGAATCCCAAACTTGTCACCACCAAGAGATTGAGAAGATCCTAGAGTTAAGGGTCTAGTCAGTGAGCCCAGGGAGACAGGTTAAACCGGGAAGAGATAGAAGAGGGTGATTTGGAAACTTGCAAAGGTCTGTTCTGATGGTTTTCTCTTCTAAACTGCAGTTTGTGTCACCAAGCAGTTGAAATGTGTGTGGACCCACACCCCACCCCCAGCATTTTGGCTTCACGCTAGTCCTAGTGTTTTAAAAGCGGAGTTGGCACAAGAATTTGATTTCCTGCAGGAAAGAGGAGGACAGTCCTAAGAAAGACAGTTCACCCTGCAGTCTTTAAAAAGCAACCAAAAAAAGGTGTATTTTCAAGTCAGGGTGAGTGGAGAGGGCTTGTTTTTACTTCAGATGCTGCACTGTTGCCCTGATTTTCACTAAGTTACTTATTTGAGACACCTACCAACTTCGTATGTATTTTTATTAGATGTCGACAAGGATGGCACATCTGTGTACGGAGACCCCCTGTGCACAGGTGACTCCATTTCTACATAGCTGCTTTCTGGAAGCTTGCAGGTGAGGATGGGCGGGTCCTTAATTGTGGCGTAAGGGTTTTCGCTGCTATTCAAGGAACAAGTGCTAGAACTGCACACGGATTCTTTCATGTAATCTGCAAAGCAAGAGAGATTTCTTAGGACAAGCAAGGACATATGTCTTCATTTAAATACCAGAAGCAGGAGACTGCAGTTGAGTTTATGTGTCTTCAGGATCCTGGAGCTGTAAAAGCCTATGATAATTCAAGATTTGCTAATTAAATGTGTTGAGGAGCGCATTCCCAGGTAGGCAGAGTTCTTTTTCCAAAGAAACTTACATTTTGGGGAGATAGGAACATTTTTGTTTTGAGTAGCCAGGTATAGCACCAGAAAGGCATTAATTCAAGATATTCATAACATGCTTTCACATCTATTATTTAATTTTTACAAAATCCTGCAAAGATAGTTGATAGTTTCCATTTTATGGGATGAAGACTCGAGAGATGAAGTGACTTGGCTAAGGTCACAAAGCTAGTAAATAGCAGTGCCAAGACTTGAATCCATGCCTTGGGGCTCCTTAGCCTGTGCTTTTTCTGTGATATTCTTTTTCAGACTTATTTTTGATGGTAGGAAGCTCAGGTTCAGAAAAAGTAGGCACGTGTGTTTTATCACCGATGTCAGCAATTTGGCAGCCTTTAGGTGGCAAACTTTGGGGGCATCCCTGCCCGCCAGGAGCTGGTGATTGGAGTGGGGCAGAATTAAGTATAACTGGTATAAAAAAGCACCTCAGTCTCAAGCTAGGCCTTTGAAAAGTTCCTGTTTTCTAGCAGGCCTGCAGTGTATCCTCTGGGGTGGTTTATCTCTGTTACACTTGTAACAACTTTGTACCCTGTTTAAAACATGAGATTAGTGAAATGTAAAAAGTGTAAGTGATAATGTAATTCAGGGGGTGACTAGATGTACCTTGGGCCAGTGAGAGCAGAACATTCCATGTGGCTAAAGTAGCTGAGATGTGTGCCACCACAAAGAGTCTTTTCTTTCTTAACAGGTCACCGATTGGGAGGGCATTTACGGTTCTGTTAATGTAGGTTATTGATGGTTGCTTTAGGTTATTGAGGTAACATTCCCCAATCTTGTACGAAAGTATATTCACCTGTTAGTTCCTTCAGGTGTTCACAACACGCTATGATGCAGGTAGAGCAGTGATGATTGTTCCTCACTTCCCCCTTTTACCCTCCCACCCCCCTATTGCTTATCAGGAAATTGAGGCTTAGAGTGGGGAAGTTCCCCCGTGTCACACTGCTTATCAGGAGCACAGCAAGCTTTAGAACCAGGCTCAGAGCACTTTCCTTCTCAGTTTAGCCCAGAGGTGGATAGGATATTGGCCTTTGTGTCATCTTAGATTATGACCTCTTAATAGTATATGAACCTAGAGAGGAAAAGGAGGAGACAGTCTTGCTACCTAACGAGCAGTCCCAGCCAGCCCCAGCAAGGACTAAAGGGAGGCTAGATAGGCTAGCTGCTGGTTGAGGCTCACATGGGGATAAGTGGCTGCGCCATGCCCTGCTCCACGCCACAGAAATGGGCCTCTCGGTGCTTTGTTTCATAGTACAAAGCAGTGGTGGATAAGCCCAGGAACCCAAACATGGCTCATCTGTCCCACTTCTGGTTCTCTGAACTCACCAGCCAAGGAATAGGGCATTACTGCTCAGCACTTCTTGTTTGGAAGCTAAGGACTAGTATTGCTTAAACAGGGGCTATCTCTTGAGTGAAAAGCCCTCCTAACACCCCCCTTCTCCCACCCAGACACAGCCTTTTACTTTGCCCTTGGCAGCTGCTTCAGTTGCATATTTTCTAAAACTTCAGGATAGCGATAGCTCACTCTGTATAGCATTTACAGTTCTCACTACAGTTAGGTAACTTGAAACTTCTTACATCTGTGAAGGGGGCTGGGCAGGAAGGAGTATTATTACTCCTTTAGAAATGAGGAAACTGAAGCTCTGAAAGCTTGTTAGTATCATGCCCAATGTTAGTAGGTAGGTAGGATTCAACCCTTGTCTTCTCTGATACCCAAGCAAAGAGCCCCCCCCCCCCCATCCTGCTACCCACTGCTCTTGCCTTGTATCTCTGTGTGCAAACTCTTTCTGCAACAGCCTTACCCTCAACAAGGAATACCTTTTATTTATGGGGCCAGTCCCTGCTGAGAGAGAGAGGCTAAGGGCTACACTTTTTATGGGTATCCCGTGACTAATTCAGTTACGGCAGTGGGGGAGCCTTGAGGCTCTAGCTCAAGGCCTGTCAGAGCCTTAGCCAGCCAATAGGGCCTCTCTTCTCATTTTCATCAGAAAAGGCGGGGCTGCTTTCAAATTTTGGGGAATATATTGTTTGTCCTGCTCTGCAGCTGGGGATGAACCTAGAAGGATAAAAGAGTTGAGGTTGGAGGGAAGGGATTAGTCAAATGGTTGGTGGGGGAGTGTTGAATTATGGAATGATCTGGTGGCTCCTTTCTCTACTGGGAACTGGAGGGTAGGGAGGGGCAGGGCAAGCTGGAAAACTCCACCTTAGGAAGCCACTCTCCCCGGCTGAGTCACCCACATGCCTGAGTGAGGGAGGATGGACAGGGTGGAGAAAGAATAACCAGCTGCTCAAAGACACTTCCTCACCCTTTTACAGCCTCACCCCCACCCCAGTCCCTGTACTTGACAGCATTCTGCAAAGAAAGGGGAAGCATGAGCTGTACCCAAGCTCCACTGAGTCACTCTTCCAAGAACCCAGGCCTGTCATTAGCATTAGGACTGAAGGCTTAGTCCTGTAATGCCCTGGCATTTGCTCTCATCTGGTTCCTACCTATCAAAGATCACATAAAGCCATATGCTGTCAGACTGAACCCGTTGCCGTTGAGTCGATTCTGACTCATAGCGACCCTATAGGACAGAGTAGAACTGCCCTGTAGGGTTCCCAAAGCTGTAAATCTTTACAGAAGCAGACTGCCACATCTTTCTCCCAGGGAGCACCTGGTGGGTTTGAACTGCCAGCCTTTTGGTTATTAGCCGAGTGCTTAACCACTGTGCCACTAGGGCTCCTCTTCCGAGAGTGAAGAGGCCTCTGAAACGAGCTAATCTGAATATTTTCATTTTATAGAGGAAGCAGCAAATCTAGAGAGGAGAAATGACTTTCCAAGGCCACCTTGTGAGCACACTGTGGGCTCTGCACCTACTCAGGCCTGTAGGTTCACACTAACATCCAGTTAAGGACCAACTTACTTCACCGTTGGGGATAGCGCAACTGTTCAGGCACAGAACATCCATCTCTTGCTTCTCAGCCACCTGCCCTTTCTCTTTCTAGACCGTAAGTTAGCATCCTTCTCTTGACTGAGACAAGAATATGGGGAGCAGGAGGGGGAGATCTCAGGGCCAGAAGGAGAACCAAGCTGGCTGAAAAAAAGGCATTTTCAGGATGTCAGTGGACTCCTCGTTATCTTAGAACCCAAGGTGAGGAGAGACTTGGAGGTTGGATAGCAAGGAGCACAGAGGTGGGGAAAGCCAGCAACAGTGGGATCAAGGCTTCCAGGTAATGCAGAGTAGTGGGGAGGACTTCTGTAGCACTCTGAACTGCATGACCGACAAGGAATTGAACGTGGGGCAGTGTGCTGCAGAATCATACACGGTGGGGGGTGGGGGTGGGGAGGAATAGACGGGGCCAGTGGGTGTTCAGAGGTACAGTGGGATTATCACAGTAAGTGGTCTCATTCAGCCTCCAGGATGACATGGAGTGGGGGATATCAGAGCTGGAAAGGGCCTTAGAGATGGTGCGAGTGTAACCAGGTCCTTTTATAAAGGAAGAAAACAACACCATGACCAGACCAGGCCTCTTTCCCATGGAGTTCAGAGAACGTTTAGACGTTAAATCTTAGCAGTTCTCATTTAGTTTTGGCCCAGTAGTTTTAGGAAATAGTTTCATTCTTGATACAAACTAGTTTATTACATGTTTCTCTGGGGGTTCAGCAAATTAATGGGGTTTATTCCATGTCTTTGATCAGTATTTCTGTAAAGTTCTGAACTGTGACATTCTTTGAATTCTCTTGTTCTGATGTATTGGTCCCCAACACCTGCTGGTACATTTGCCTACACAGCTTCTCTTTCCTCTCTAATTTAAAGGATGCTTACAGCCAGAGTGGTGAAACAAAATCTGGCTGCCTACCTGCTGAGGCTCTCCCTGCTCTCAGGTGCTCGGATGTATGAGCCACCAAACAGGAATGAAATGACGCTGAGGCAGAGATGCTGCTCTCCTTAGCTCTAGCTTAACGTTAAAGGTTGCAGGTCGTGAGTCTGAAAGTAGCTATCCTGTTCACAGTGCACGGGACAACAAAGTGCATGAGAACGTTATGTGCTTATGAATTGAGGTGCCCAGGCCGGTCTCAGCTTATTTGCACTTGAGTCATGCATGTTCTGAGAGCTGGAAGGGCCCTGGGAGATCTTTCTGCCCAGTCGCCTCACTTCCTCGACAAAGACGCTGAGGTCTCAGGTCACAGTGATGAAGCAGCAGAGCTGTCCTTTCTGTTTTTAGCTTTACCTGCTGTAATGATGCTTGCTTGTACCCCATTTGGATGGTTTAAGGCAAAACTTATAAAAAAAAAAGGGGTCAGAATGATGCTCCCATGGGAGGTCCTCTGGCTGGCTGGGTGCCTAGAGGTGACCTCTTATCTTTAGAGAGTTCTCCTGGAACCTGCACGTCCTGACAGGTACTCATGGGGGCTCCTCCTCACCGCTCTCTGACTCAGAACGCAGCACTCTCCACCACCCACTTCACTAATCACCCCACCAAGGGCTGTAGACAACTAGCTCTCCCTGGTTAGGAAGGAAATGGTTGTGTCTCAGGTGTCAGTATCTAAGGTTAGACCTGAAAGACCAGAATAGTAATCCAGGAAATCCGGGTCAGTGTAGTCCAGTGGTTTCTAAATGATAGTTGGGTGAATAACCTGGTGTACTCCTCACAAATGCAGATTCCAGGGCCTGGCTCTAGATCTACTGCATCAGAATCCCCGGGAGATGGGGTCTGAACCTCTGTATTTTTAATAAGCTTCCCAGGTGATTCTGGTGTACAGCCAGGTTTAGGATATCCATTGGGACCTTTGCTGTCAGTCATATCTCTTTCAGCTTGACTGAGACTCTTAAGTAGACCCTAGAGACAAAAAGACAGCCCCATTACCTTTGTACAACCCTGTACAATATGTAACAAAACTTCCCATCTGTGATTTTATTGGATAGGTACAATAACCTTGTTGGACAGTCGGACAGGCATTGTTATCCCAATCTTGCAGATGAGGAAGCTGAGCCCTGGAGAGCTCAGTCTTCTGTCACAGTTAATAAGTGACAGAGTAGGGACATTAACCCAGGTTTGTGTTGTTCCAAAGCTGCCTGTTTCACACATTCTGTCATTCACTCCTGGGCCTCAGCCCAGGAACAGGACCTGACCTTTCATCTTTGGCTTCACCTGTAGACTTCCTAGAGGGACGGTCTGACTGGCAGTTCCCATGTGTTGGGGATTAGTGCTGGCTTCCCTGCTCTCAGGGCCAGAGAGCTCTTGATCTATTAACACTGGGTATCATTTTCCTTCCGTGTGCCCCAGCAAGCCAGCAGGTGCAGGGTGGCGTTCCTCCCCAGCACAATGACAGGAGGCCTCTGGGGGCAGGTAGATTGACTTTATTTCAGATTTTATAATCAATTTAACTTGTGCTAATTGGTTGGATAACGATGTTCTGCATTTCCGAAGACATTTAGTTGGCATCTATTAAAAAAAAACCCACAAGCGTTTGCTAAGCAGGAGCAACTGAAATCGAAAGATGAATTCATTATTGTGATTGTTCCTCCTGCGCAGAGCTACCCAGCAGCCCCAGGTCCTGTGGTCTTTTAACCTTTTTTGGGGGTGTGTGGGGGTGTGGGGGTGGGGGGATGTGTAGTTTCTCTCAGGCGGAATTCCTGGTCATTTCAGATCTGCACCCTTTATCTTGCTAAGCCCTTTCTAATGGGACGTCAGGATTGGATACTCTACCTTTGAAGCCTTTGTCCATAATGTATGTGTTCTGACGTCTATCCATTCCACAAGCACCTGCAGGAAAATGACATAAGGAGAGAGTAGTACGGGGGTGAGCGAGGTTTACTTAGACTGCAGGTGCTCTTCTTTTTTGTTTTTCTTTCTTTCTTCTCTACCCGGAAGATAAATAGTTATCTATTGCTACAACACTGCTCTGGGTTTAATCTACCCTGAATCAGTTTGCGTGTATAGGGATTCTTGAAGGGACCCGGAACGTTAACAGTGCCAGTGCGCTGCAGCTCTCCTGGGCGTATTCAGCACTCCTCCTCTCTAACCTTCAGCCCTGAGGAGAATGTCTTCCAGGAGTTAACGAAAGGCAGTTCTGATGCCACCTGCAGTCACTGTAGGTGAAGTTCCAGGTGCCAAAGGTACAGAATGAGAAATGAATCAGAACTAGTTCTTAGCTTGGGCCGGGGGAGGGAGGAGGTATGCATTTCCAGCCCCCAGGTCTGCTGCATTTTGGAATGGGGTTGGAGACAGTTTTCCTCGCCTGTCTCAGCTCTGATCCTGCCTCTCCTCCCCAGGCTCAGCTGAGGGAAGCCAGAGAGGGAGGACAGGTTGCTGAGGTCCTTGTACAGTCCTTCCCATCTCAGCAGCTCTCTTAGTCACCCATTTCTATGAATGAACAACTTGCACGTAATTGAGAGTTGTCTTTGAAAAGTGTTATCAATTTTTTTAGCTCCAAGGATTTCCTTCTCCCTTTTGGCTACCACAGTTTATCCTACACATGATCCTGAGCCCCAGCCAGAGGCAGGGCATAAAGCTTCAGGGACAAAGCTCAGGTTCTTTGCTGCTGGTGATCCCAGAAAAGAAACTGCTTGGCATTTCTAGGTCAGGACAGTAACGATCCTGGCTTAGAGTCAAAGCCATCTTTATTCAGCTTTTAACTGGGGACACAGTACCAGGCTAGGTGGCCAGAAAGTGCCTACTAAAATAGAGATCGACTCTCCCCAAAGTTTCTGACACTGAAGACCAAACCCACTGCTGTTTAAGTACCTCCGAATACCCCTCCACATAGCGTGCCCAAGCTGAATTTGCAGAAGTCTGGCAAATTAAATTGGTCCTATCTGCCTTCCACACATGGCTGAGTGATACAGCTGAATCAGGTCCAAGTTCGTTATTCTTTTAAAAGGCCTTCAGAAACATGACTGCAACAATCCATATCCCCAGCATCTATTCAGCACTTTACACCAGACAAGGGCTTCCTCTGTCCTCCCTGAGGGAGGAAGGCTTGACTGTTAACTTTTGTCCATTTTTACAGAACAGGAAACAGAGGCTTAAAGAGGGCTCAAGGCCATACCAGCAAGTGAGAAGCTGAGTTAGGACTAGAGCCCAGATCTCCTCAAGTATTCACTCCCGTTGGCCACCAGCCTCCCTGGGTATCAGCCAAAAAATGACAATGGGTGGTGGCTTTAGCTTCCCTGGTTGAAGCGTCAGACTGCTTTGAAATTTGCATAGCAGGGAGCAATCTCTGGGTTGAGCCCAGAGGATCTCCCATGTGGAAAGAGATACAGAGTGACGGCGCTGGTGGTGGGGTTACTGAATGCCCTGGACACTGGCCAGGGGCTCCAGAGCCAATAACACAGCTTTCTGGGTGCAGGTCCAGAGTCCTTGCAGACAGTGCCTGCCCACGGGGCAGCTGAATTCCTAGTGCTGCTAGACCCAGGGATCTAGATGCAGAGTTGGTAGAGCTGCATTTCCCTTGAGCCCCAGAAACCAGCTAGAGCCCGAGCTCAGGCCCAGAGCTGTCCAGTGTGCTAAGGCTCTGCCCCTCAGTGCCCTGGAGGGGCCACTTTGTAGAGGTACCACATTCCCTGTTCATTGTACTCACTCCTGTGGCACCTACTTTTGTAACTACTGCCCACATCCTCCCATGTCAGGACTGACTTTCCACGTCTCCTTTTTGCATCTCTCCCAAGTCACCAGGTTTGAGCCTAATACAGGAACAGAGGACGTTGCCCAGGAAGTCACACAATGTGCCGCAGTCTCTCCAGATCCCTGCTGGATGGCCCCCCTACCCTCCATCCCATGAGCTGGGAGAGCTTGGCCTGGGTCCTGGTGGGTCTATAGTCTCTCTCTGGGAGGTACTGGGCTCTTTAGCTGAAGAGCCAGCTCTTCATTATCCATACCAACAGGGGCCAGAGGTCCAGAGAACCCCAAAGGTGTCACCATCCCCAAGTCATTTCTCAATGGTTTTGGGTTGTATTCTGTGGCCTGTAAAGAGTGCAATTACATCATGTCCCCTCTGCCTAATACCAGCCACCAGTGTTTGTCCACACACACTGACCACGATGGAAGCAGAAGGAGTGATGGGGAGGATCCAGACAGGTTTCCTTCAGATGGGGGATTGGGCTTGGAGATGAGTCATGTTGGGAGGGAGGGGGGCTCAACAGGGAGTGTTCTGGGAACCTGGGGGTGGGCTAGGGAGTAGGGCAGGTGCTGGGTCTGGTCTAGTATGGTAGCCTCAGGGGCCCAGGGGGTGGAGGGTAGGGCTGGGGGTCTGACCTTGTGAGTGTGGCTCAGCGGGGCGGCTGAGGTGTCTAAGTTCAATGTAGAAGTCCTCGGGCGGGTACCTGGCCTCCAGGGCACTGATCTGGAAATGGGAGTCTAGTGAGAGGAATGACAGGGAGGAGCCATTATTCCCAGGGCCCTGGTATGGCAGGGAAGGGGAGTGGGAAGTACACAGGGAGATGAGGGTCTGAGTGGGACAGGCTGGAAGGAGATGACGGCCTCTATACATAGTACTGGGGCCAGGGGGATCCGCGAGCCCAGGCCATGTGCCTTGCTTCCCTACCTCCCACCCTCAACTGGAATGGGTACCTACTAGAGCAGGGGTACCTTGGTAGGGGCTGGGTCAGGAAGGAAGGGGTCCCTTTCCAGATGGTGAGTGCACTTTTGCTTCCACCTGGAATCCCCATATCCCTCCCAGCTGTCTCCTTGGGTCACAGCCACCCTCTCCCTCTCTCCTAATACAGGAATGAAGGGGGTCTTGGGCTTCATTTGCTTATAAGAGCTGAAATAGGGGCTTGGATCTCCTTCCCACACCCCTTCTCCCTGGGGGCAACCCTGCTCAGGACTCATCTGACTCTTTCCCTTTGAGCTGGGACAGGGCCCCTCTCAATGTGAGGGGGAGTACCGGGCGGGACATGATGCAGGAGACCAACTCAAACCACTACTGACCTAACACATTCACATAGCTGTAGGGGGTCCAGCCTGCTGTGTCTCTGTCAAGGGACCTGTTACTGAGCTGTTTGGAGAGTAGGAGAACTGGTTAATACCTCGTGCCCACACGGTGCCCCTCCCCAGCCTTTGCTTTGCCCAGCCTCAGTGCAGCCTCCCCTGTGATGATCCTGACCCACCTAGGTCCTAGACCCCCCTCCCCTGTGATGATCCTGACCCATCTAGGTCCTAGACTCCCCCTCCCCTGTGATGATCCTGACCCACCTAGGTCCTAGACCCCCCTCCCCTGTGATG